TGATTGATCCCTTTTACTTTTGGGATTATTTCTGTGATTTGTTTAAGCTTCTTACACAGTGCAACATTACCAAAAAAACAAAGAGAAAAAAAAAATCTAAATATAGTTCAGAAACACTTATATAGGCAATTATGCATGATATAATCTGTACAGCTGAGCTATTTACACAAGTGATTTGTTGATTTCTTCTTGGAATCTGTAAATGTTGTGGCTTATCCTAGCCCCATACCAGTTAATAATTCTTTATTTGTTCTGGTGAAATTAACATTTTCTTAACATGTTGGTTCAAGCAATGGGTGTATAATCACTGAAAAGTGTTCTGATCTGTTCAAGGGTTTTAACAAAGATTGGAATTAACAAAACAGAACACATTCAAATGATAAAAGAAAAAAAAAACGCAAATCTGAAATCAGAGCTTCAACAGAGAAGTGATAGTTCAAGCTGCAGCTGGGGAGAACATTCATCGGCGGAGAAGAATGCCCAGATGAATGTTCTATTTATTAACTAATGCTGAAAGTAAAAAACATAAAAGAGACGAAGGAGAAAGAGGGAGATGAGATACCGGTTGATGGAGCAAATCGGTGGAGGAGAATAGTATTCTTCCTTGTGGAGTAGGGTTGTTCACAGGTCAGGTTGAGTCGGTTTATTAGTGTTTTTTCAACTGACCTGACCTGGTCGGGTTACCTATAGATCAAACTGAAACCGATCATCTATTAAGTAAAACCGACCTGGTCAGTTTGGGTCGGTTTGGGTTTCAACCAACTCTAAGCTTGCACAATGTACATGAAGTCAAAGTGCTAATATTATATATAATATTTCAGAATATATTTTCTGAAAATATATATTTAAAACCAAAACATATATACAAATATATCAAAATATATATTTTCTAATTTCTGAAAATATATATCTGATATATTTCAGAATATATATTTTTTCAGATATATATTTATTATTTAAAACTAAAATAGCTATATTTAACAGATATTTTTTCACATTACTCGGTTCGGTTCAGTTTTCACATATGAAAACCAAAACCGAACCAAATTATCAGTTTGTTTATCTTTGCAACCCGAGACTAACCGGTAATGAAGAAAAACCGGCCAATTCAGGTTAGATCAGACTGGATTAGTTGGTTTGGATTTATTTGTGAACAGCCCTATTGCGAAGTTCAGGGGCAAGGAGAGCTTCGCTGTTCAACGGTAAAATGCAACTGAAATGCTACAGTATAAAAAACTAAAAATGATGCATGTGATACATATTATCACTAAAAAATTGTATAAATACCTGAGGACCGAATTCAACCACGATAAAAAAAGTGTTGATGAGATATTTAACTATGGACGGGGCCGGCCCACAATATATTGTGGACCAGTCCCATCTACACCAAACCAAACTCTCTATTCATCCTGTGGCATGGACTGAGATGGTTCATCCACGAGATGAACACCCTTCCGAACGCCACCTTAGTCCAACTTGAATATCATTTCTATATTAAATGAATAGTCGGATCTTTATTAAACCGAAGCAAGACCTCAATTTTTGAAAAATGGTGAATCGAAATCGAACTGCAACCAATCAGTTAATTGTTCGATTTGGTTTTTTATGGATTCGGTTCCTCGGTATTTTATATTTATAATATAATATGTTATAAATAAATAAATTATTATAAATATGTATATTATATTGTAAATACTACAAATTGGTGCATATTAAAAATAATTTATAAACATATATATATATATATATATATATATACCGAACCACCAGTTTTATTAGATTAACCAAAAATAATTTGTTTGGTTTTTTGGTTTTTCAATTTTTGTTAAGCACCCCTAACATCAATACGTCCAGGGCTGTGACTCACAGCTTGAGCCCTTGCATGAGAATTTCTCGAGCCATAATTTTACTGTTTGGTCTAAGATGTTCATAATCCAGAGTATGAACACCCTTACGTGTGTTATGTATTTTGCCGTATGATACAGAAAAGACATAATAAGGTGGTATATAACAAAATTCATGGGAGGGTTTTTGATTAGTCAAAGCTCTTTCAATATTATGATTTTCAAGCATTATAGTTTTCCCCATATTTTGTGACCCAATGTCTATGTGGTAAGCCTTAAAAACATTTAAATTGGGTGTTTGTTTGGGTGGGCTTTCGTGCAACAGTTTTTGACATTCTGAGGTGAGTTCCACACGAAAAGCCAATTAGCCCCACATCAAAATTTGGCATAAATATATGCATATATAAGTGTGTATGCATGTATGTATGAAAATACGTGTTTACATATTTATTTATATATGTAGTTAAGATTGATTTAAGCTACCTAAGGGCTAGGGTTGGGCCCAACCGAAAAAATAGAAAATCCCAAACTTTTGAGCCTAGGCCTAGGCCCAACTTGAGGACTGAAGATCCAAAGCAGCATGTTTAAAATTGTGAGTTGGATTAAGCTTAAGTTAAGCCTGCCCAATTTACATCCCTATGGACTATTGACCACCAATTAGATGCAAACAGCTTACTTTTCTATTTCATCATTAATAAAAGCAATTTTTATTTATCATACTTATTTTTGTTTAATATAATGAATAGAGATATACTCAAATGTTTTTTTACAAAAATTCTATATTTTTAAAATGTTATGTGTCTATATTTTTTTAATTTCTTATTCAATTATGACATAATAGATTGACCCAATTGACATAAAAAAAAACCATGCCAACCACTTGCATTTCATATCCACCATTAATAAAAATGTTTCTTATTACCATACTTATTGTTTTATTTATGTTTTTATACATTTTTGTACTTTTTTATTTAATTATGAAACTAGGGGTGGATTTGAGCCGAGCCAAGGTGAATAATTGGCTATTCGAGCTAGAGATTTGAGCTCGAGCTCGGCTCAGTTCAAAGCTTGCAAGTTTGAGCTCGATTGCAAGCCAAGTTTTTTTCTAAAAAATATAAAATATAAATATAAAAATATTTTTATTTTACATACAAAAAATTAAGAATTATAAAAGTTATTTACTATTATACATAAAAAGTAAAAAAAATTATATATAAAATATTATTACATATATAATAAAAATCATTTATAATATATATTTATATGTATATGTACGTATGTATATAATAAAAAAATTATTTATTTGTTATACTAGGCTCGTGTGCCTCACAAGTTGAGCTTCACTAGGCTCGAGCTCAGCTTGATTAGCAAACAAGCCTATATATTAGGCTCGAGTTTGGCTCAAAGCTCAGTTTAAACCGAGTCGAGCTGAGCTCGAATAGCTCGTAAGAAGCTTGACTCATGGCCAGCGCTATACGAAACCATTGATTGACCTATTTGAAACCTATGGATGAACTATTTACCGATTGTCTAGATGAAAGGGTGGTTTATTTTTCATGTTGGTTTTGAACACATGTTTTATATAATTTTGGATATAGATTTAATTAGTAAAATTTATTGATGAAAAAAAAAATAATTCAAATAAAATATCTAAGAATGTAGTTAGAAATAATAGTACTTTAAATTACATTTTTTGTCCACACAACTAGAGATGGACTAAATTAGTAAGTAGGGGTATTTTAATTAGGAAAAGCCCATAAAGCTAATGTACCTTATATTTAATGAAAAAGAATGACAATTAATACATTAACTATAGGATTTAATGTAAGGGAGTTGAATGAATTTAATAAAAGTAATAGATTAAATTACATTTTTTCCCTCATAATATAAAAGATCAAATTGAGGAGATAAGAATATTTTAGTAAAACAATATCCAAAATCCGAGCTTCATTCAAACTTTGAATAGCAAGTATAGATATAAATATAGATTTCTATAAATTCTAGAATGGTATGATACCCCATCCCATGATTTCCATAAAATCTAAAGCATTTGCGATCCTTCTATTGTTATTTATGGGTAAATAGCTTTTCTAAGAGTAACATATCATGATATTATTTGGAACCGTAGGTGTTTATTCACTAAACGTTTGTAGTTGATTTGTTTGCAAAACCTAGAAAGGCAATAACAAACTTATTTATTGACACTAAAGCACCACTAGGCACCATTAAACACCACATCAGCAATACAGTGAATAAACGCCTACCCGTTGGGAAGAAGTACTAAAATGAAGCTTCTCTATACATTTGAATCGGCATAATAGGGAAATGTTAAAATGGCACCTATGTGACAGCATTTATTCAATATCCACGATTCCAAACACGCTAGATTTTAGAGAAATTTATAAAATAAGGATTTCTCTTTTTAAAACCCCAACAAAACACATGGCTCCAAATTTAGACTTCGCGTTGTAAGGTGGTTGAACCATTAAACTATTAAATATTTTAATCTGGCAATGGTTCAATTCAGTTCAATTCAATCTTGACTTTTTTAAACCGAAATCCTTAGAGACTTCTCAACTTCCAGGTTGGATTAAAACATTGAGTGCAAATGAAGTTCCTTTTATTCTTGTTCTACTAAATCCTCAGTATTCGCAAACTTTGTGGATAAAAAGCGAGTGAGGGCCAAAAAAGTTAAAAAATAAAGAGAACGAGAATGCAATTGAAATCCAAAGCCTCCTAAGCAATCAAATGACCCAGAAGCCCGTCCCCAAGACGGAAGACTTTAACAAACAAGATTGCACTCTCAAAAATCTGGTGACACCCAGCTTTTTATTTTTTTTGTCTAAGTGTACAGTTCAGGACAGTTGAGGTGCCCAAGCAAAGTTGTCTTACTTCCAATTCCAACCCCAAGTCCTAACCAAACCAGAACTTAAATCTAAAGAACACACTTGAGAACAATATATAACCCAAACCAATCAGACCAAATACCATGTTGCTTCCCCTTGACAATTTTCATTCTTATCCAAGAAAAAATCGAATTCATGTGCTGAAAAACCTTGAAATACCTTGTACCAACATATAACGCCACGTCATTTGCAATTTTAGCAACCAGAATCAATAATAGCAAGGAACAGCAGAATAAATGCGAAAGCCATATGGTTAACCAGTATACACAACAATATACCATTTCCCCTCCAAACTGCACGCAACTATCAATGAAATATGCACCGAAACAAACAAAAAATAAATAAACGGGTTGTGAAACTGGATGAGATTCAGCAGTGCACAAAGGTTTAAAGGGAGAGAACTGTAAAAAACGTAAAATTCATGTTCCCTTAATAAATCTCAATTTATCACAGATACCTCCGAAAGAAAACAAACAAACAAACAAAAAAAAAAGTTCCCTTATTAAAAATTTTAAATACTCTGTTTGGACACGCCACCACAAACCTGTCAGATGATCGGAAGGTGGTTTAATTCCATCCATTATCAAGAATCACTGCCCTTCTGACTCAGATTTCTCCAAAAACGTCTTCTTCAACCAATCGAATGGCTGTACAAGTAAATGCAAGAAATTAAGAGATGAACAGAAAGTGGATATGTTACAATGTAATAAGCGGGCTATTGCCAAAACATATCATGCTGATTTATCTGAGACTCATTAGTCTGTTCTCTGTTGGACTATAGCAGTGGCCTCCCATTTTTCCGGATGCATGGGACCACAAACCAAACTACCTAATTGGATATTGACATGTTAATTATTCATAAAAAAACGATATTGACAAGTTAAAGCTGTTCCTTCAACAATGCTGCTGCCACAGAAAAAAAAAAAAAGAAAACAAAACAAAACTACCCCCCAATCAATGAACAAAAACAGAAAGAAAACAGCTACACCTAATGTATATCTCTTCTCCCCTTATCTTTTACACTATTCATTCTCAGAGCTGAATTACAGTAAAAATTTACAAAGAAATTGTTAAATGGTAAATGTTGTAGTGGAGGTGATTCATCCAAACAACCACACCCCACATAATTTACAGGAGCCCGTCATCCTAAAGATCTCAGATGCTTAATCTTGGGATACCTGGGTAAGCTTAATTCCGAATTAAAGTCACACACTTGTAAATTTCACTGGACAGGCAGGAATGGTATTCTCAAGTTATTTCACTGGACATAAGGATAGGTGGGTGCATTTTTAAGTGTCGGAGAAGAATATTGAAGTATCTGATCCTGCCTGTAGTATCTTTAAATATCTTCATTATCTTGGCAACAGGTGATGACAACAAGAATAAGGCAATGAAAATTATAAAACATCGTCTCCCTATTTGCTAATGTTGTTCATTCATTTATTGCAATAAAATATCTTCTTAAAAGGCAATGAAAGTTATAAAATCATTATTTTTTTATGTGAGAAATAAGAATTTCAGACCCTAACATAGACTTGTTCGGGTTTGCCTCGAGGGGCATGATACAAAGGCAACTCATAGAATCAAGAATGCAATATGTTTTACATCACATTAACTACTTGAAGCAATGCAATTAAGGTAAAAAAGGAGATTGTGGGTTTTACATGTTTGAAAATGGTTTATATGTTTGCTTTTCTTTTTAAATTTTCATTTGAATACACTTTACATGTTGTGTTTATGTATTTTAATTTTTTTTTGATGAATGATTTATGTATTTTAATTTTAGATAATAGGTTTTTTAAATCGTTTATTTAAAATTTTAAGTTTATATTTTTTATTAACATTATGTTTAATATTTTTTGCATTTTTTTAAAATTTTGGCATTTTTTTGAATTTTCTGACTTTTTTTTATTTTTAGCTTTTTTTTGTAATTCTGTTCGCCTTGCGCCTGAGGCGCAAATTGGCCCTTGGGCTTTTAAAACACTGAGAGAACCAGCTACAAAACAATGACAGCTATGATATTAGAACAAAGGCCCATAAACATAAAGCTGTAAAGGCGCATAAGCTGCCTTTTCTATTGGTCCATTAACTGCAACAATCAACCCTTAGTAAAGGGATCCAACCCCCAAATTTGCACAATGCCCTCAAGGTGCAAACATGATCAGTTTGGTGATAATGACTACTGATAGTTAAAGGATAGAAATAACTAATTTGAACTTAACAAGGGGACCAGAACAAATCTAATAAGGTAGTGGTATATCCTGTATAAACCATAAAGAAACATTTATAAAGAAAAGAAAACTAGTAGAGATGTATTCCCACTATGTCATCATATACAATGAAGTGGAAACCCTTAGATTGAACATCGCTACTTGGAGAATGGGCGGATGTCACAGAATTTCCAATGCAAAAACCAGAATAGATTAACTGATTAAGAACCAAATTCCTTGAAAAAAAAATAGCATGTTTCATCATCCAAGCATTTGTGCGTTCCATGGGGAGTACAGTACACGAATTTCATTAACCGCAACCTTGCAAGAGGTAGCTCTAGACCTTGTTAGAATATTCTAACCATGTAATTGTACTCTAATTTAATTGAAGTATCCTTTTCTCTTATTACATCAGAGATAGTTCATTCAAAGAGCAAATGTACCACACCTTAAATTTGCAGTTATCCCTAAAGGTTAAAAGTGAACCAGATTCAGATTCTTAAGAAATACTTTTATCATTTTATCGTCACAATAACTTAATTATAGGTGAACATTGAAGCACTTCAAAGTTGATTCTCTCGGAGAGATGGGGGGTGAGAACCGGAAATCCAAAATGAATGATCGCACAGAAGAAAATAATCAAGGATCAAGGGTCAAAAATAAAAAGTATCAGTAACTACAAAACAGATTATCAATAAATTAGGAATGATTGTAGAAATCAATTTAAATACGAGATTGTGATTGAAATGTAAAAAATAAAAATAGAACGAATTAATATACCTGGATAAGCCAAAGAGCTCCGGTGGTTGCAGCGACACCCCACATCGCCGCGGCTTGAATATCAGCCGACTGGGGACGAAGCCCAGGTCGAAGAAACTTGAACAGACTCGTGCTTGCTGCCATTTTCGCTTTGCAGATCAAGAAAATGACTCCTTTTATTGCAGAAACCCTAGTTCGTGTCTTGTTCACAAAACAACCCTTGACCCTTCCCTTTCTCGCTCACCAAGAAGACGAATGAAATTTTAATACAACAATTACGAGAAAAGAAAAAAAATGGGTCTCCAGTGGCCCATTGAGTATTGGGCCCATCCAAATAGCCCAGGGAAAAATTTTAAGAGCACTGGACTCGAACAATATACTTGGGATCGGAAGCAGACATGAATCATTTAACATTAACATTAATTAACATCCGGAAATAAAAGAATATTGTTAAATGACGCCTAAATCTATATCTATCTATACTATTTTAAAAAGGATGAATACTGGACTCGAACAATATACTATTTTAAAAAGAATATTTCTGGAATTTTGTAAGAATAAAATCTATTTTTTTATATTTAAATTTATTTATAAAAATAAGGGAAAATAGGACAATTGGTTATTGATATTAAATGATTTGAAAAGAGATAATTTTAAGGGGGCGTTCTTATATTGGATTTTGAGAGGGGAGAAAGTTGGTCAATGGGATTTTGATTCCTATTGACCAAGAAACCCATGTTCTTTTTTCAGATTTATGTGAGGACCAGGGAAAGTTTATTTTCCTAGGTACCCATCTCCTAAATGGGTAAATAACTTTCTCACTTACATGAAAGTTTCCAACACTTGAATTAGACAAAAATGCCCCTTTTAATAATTGAATTTTATGGCTAAAATGGTCATTGCCTTATTTACATGGGAAATAAAAGAACATGGGTAAATGCACTTACCCGAATAAATCTTTCCTGGGAAACACTTACCTGGGTAAGTGTATTTACCCGGGTAAATAACCTACTGAAAAGCAAACGAGGCCTAAGATATTCAATTCTTTTAATTCCCTCTCATTAAATCCAACATTTAAGGTATTAACTTGCACGTACCTTTATTGAATCATATATTTAAGGCATTTTTTTTCTCATCATTAATTTCTACTAATTAAATCCATATATAATAAATTAATAATTCCAATAACATAAAAACTTATACTTCCAAAATTTATTTAAAAAAATATATATATAGTGTTTTCATCTAGGTGGTGGTAAGAAATTAAACTATTTTGGGTCAAATGAGCCAATCCATGCTGCTACAATTAAATCATAAAATTCAAAATTAGAAAAATGCAAAAAAAAATTAAAAATTTAAAAAAAAATTGGGAACATTTTTAACATCATATATTTGACATATTAAACAATAATCAGTATGATAAATAAGAAATGTTTTTATTAATTATGGAAATGGAATGTAAAATTTAAATAAAACCATTTTCCTATTCTATCTCATTAAACGCTATATTTAAGATACATTTTTTCTCATCATTAATTTATACTAATTAAATCTACAACATTAATTTTAATAGTATAAAAAAATATTTTGAAAAAATTAATGGTTTATTTTGAAAACAATTAAACCATTTAGCATCAAATGGGTTAATAAATAATACCGTAATTAAATAATAAAAAATTAAAATTAATAAAATATATAATACAAAAAAAAAGAAATGGGCATGTCTCTGATATTGTATATTCATTATAATAAACAAAAATAAGTATGAAATATAAGAAGTAGTTTTATTAATGATGAAAATGGAATACCAAATTTAAAATCAACTTAGAAATGAAATGATTCCATAGTCAAATAATAAAATGTTTAAAATAAAAAATACAAAGAATCACAAAATTAAAGAAAAAAGAGAAAATTTGTGCACATATCTAATGTTATACATTTATAAAAAAAAAATATTAGGTACATCTCTAATATTATAAATTCATTATATTGAACAAGAATAAGAATTATACATAAGAAATAATTTTATCAATGATGAAAATGTAACACAAAATTTAATGTCAACCTAGAAATCAAACTATTTTCTTTTTAGGGTGGTGGGTTAGTAGTTTGGGACAAATAGATTAATCAATGATATGATAGTTAAACAATAAATCTTAAAAAATAAAATACAAATAATCAATATATATATATATATGCCAAGCAAAAATTAGGTGTAATAAGTAAGAATTATTTATAAAACATAGATGAACTATATACTTTAAAACTGATTCGGGAGCAAAGCTACTTTCTTATCTAGATGGTGGGTCAATGATCCAACTTTTCAAAAAGAAGAAACTCATGATATCATAATTGAATAATAAATATTAAAAAAATATAGAACTTTAAAAAATGAAAAAGTACAGAATTTTGTTTAAAACATTTGGAAACATTTATAATGTTATATATTCATCATATTAAATAAAAATAATTGTTAAAGGAAAAATTATTTTTATTTATGACAGAAATAGAATATAAACTATAATAATAATAATAATAATTGTTAATGTAATTTAAATTTTCCATGTGCAATGCGCATGCACATTTACTACAAACATTCATGCTTATTTTTAATCAAATTGTTACTCTTGTTAATTTCCAATTTCTATCCTAACTATGATATATCTCAACTTCAAGTAATTAATATGAAGAAATTTTTCTTAGGTGCAACGCATGTGCTTAATTACTAATACTATATAAAAGTGTGACTGTAGTGTAAAAGTTTTTTTGGAATAAAATTACCCTCTATTTCTTTGCTTGAGTAAGGGTATACAAGTCTTTTTATTATAACTTTATGTCAGATTTTATGGCTACCAAAATGTCCATATTTGAGTATTTAATCCATATCTGATCATAAAGGTTGAAAATGTAATACTATATAAAAGTGTGATCGTAGTGTGAAAGTTTTTTTGGAATAAAATTACCCTCTATTTCTTTGCTTGAGTAAGGGTATACAAGTCTTTTTAATATAGCTTTAATGTTAGATTTTATGGCTACCAAAATGTCTATATTTGTGTATTTAATCCATCTCTAATCGTAAGGTTTGAAAATGTAATTTCAATTATTACTTTCCACCTCATTTAATCTCCTCTAATCAAGTCTTATACTTAAGGTATTAAATCCCATGTTCTCTTATTAAATCCTATATTTTAAGTTATTTTTCAATAATAAATGCTATTAATTAGATCTATGTCAATATTTTTGACAGTATAAATCCATATATTTTAAATTTGACTCAAAAACAAAACCATTCTTTATCCAAGTGGCAGTTACGCAATTCAACCATCCGAATTAAATTGATCAATCTACGAAGTCATTGTTAGGTAATAAAATTTTTAAAATAAAAATAAATATAGAAAATTACAAAAATTGTAGAAAAAGTAGACACATTTATGTAATCAAATTAAAAAAAAATAAGTGTAATAAACAACAATTATTTTTATTGATAATGAAAATGAAATACATAATTTAGAACAACCCAAAAATTAATAATAAATAGTTCAAATTTTGGGTTAAATGTATTAAACTTTAATATCATAAATAAATAATAAAAATTAATAAAATAAAAAAATACATACATCTTGTAAAAAAACATTCAAACACATGTATAATATCATATATTTATCTTATTAAACAAAAAGTAAGTGTAAAAAATCAGAATTAGTTTTACACACAAAAGTACAAAAAAAAACTATAGTAAAAGTTGAGCACATCTATAATTCTATTTTTATACTACTATTAAAAATATGAATAGGATTGTGAAATTTTTTTTACTAAAATACTCTTTTTTGAATTTAGTCCCTATTTAATTGTGAGGTTTAAATTATAAATTGAACTACTACTTTTCACTACATTCAATTCACTCTATTTAAATCTTACATTTTTTTAATAAATGAACAAAAAAAAAGATACACCAAAAAAATAAAACATTACAAAATGAAGAATCTAACCAAGTAGTAGAGGTGCAAATGGATCATATCATGATCTAGTCCGATCCTTTTTGTTAAATTCGGATATCCCTAGTTCGAATCTTCAAATTGAATTGGGTCAGATAATAGGATCCGATCAAAAACTGGACCGAATTCATATCACTCCCTATCCGATCCGATATATATTTTTTACGTTGCATTTTTTAAATTGTTATATTATTTATTTTTTTTATAAAGAATGTATATATATAATAAAAATAGTTGAAAAGATACTTGTATTTTTGTTTTTCTTTATTTAAATTATTATATTTTAATTTTCTTTTAATATTTTATTATTTTTTAAATTAAATTGGAAGGGATCAGATCTAAATATCTAACTTCCTCATTGGATTCGTATTCAAACCCGTATTTATGAGATGTGATCAGATCTTCTGTTAATAGTATTGGATCAGATTTGGATATACCCTAATTCAAATTTGACCCAATCAGTTTGCATTCCTATGAAATAGATAGGCTTGTCAATGATACCTAAAACTTCACAAATCAATCCGATTATCTCATATTTGGGTGAGGTGTTTATGAAATCAGATTTGGATTTTGCAATCTACATTTGATTAATAATAAAAATTATAAAATATAATAACAAAAAAATATATAAAAGTTTATAGGATAATTTGGATATATTATTACTATCATTTTCATTATCTAGAATTGCCACATGCAAAGTACGTTCATGCTTACTAGTCTTCTAAAATGATGCCATCCAACTTTAACTCTAAAATAGTGTTGTTCCTAATTTAAACTAGAAAGTCAATTCATATGTTTTAATAATAATTCAAATTTAATTTTAGCTATTGAACTCAAATAAAAAAACTAGTGCGAAAGATTATGGTGACCTCACATTACAGTTAGGGTTGTAAATGGATTGAATTTGAATTGAATCAAGTAATATCCAAATTCAAATCCGATTAGAAAATCTGATTCGATATCCGACAGATATCTCATATTTGGGTGAGGTGTTTCTGTAATCAGATTTGGATTTTGCAATATACATTTGATTAATAATAAAAATTATAAAATATAATAACAAAAAAATACATAAAAGTTTATAGGAAAATTTGGATATATTATTACTATCATTTCATTATCTAGAATTGCCACATGCAAAGTACGTTCATGCTTACTAGTCTTCTAAAATGATGTCATCCAACTTTAACTCTAAAATAGTGTTGTTCCTAATTTAAACTAGAAAGTCAATTCATATGTTTTAATAATAATTCAAATTTAATTTTAGCT